GTTAAAAGTAAACACATTAAGAGCTCATAAACTTTACAATGTGCATATCAAGTATCCCGTAGAATACCAGCTCCTCAGCTCATCTGCTGAGCAAGCCATCCTAACATCGCCTACATGCTGAACATCCTTCTGTATCATTGACGAGCTGGAAACTTTATTTGGGATGATGCTTGCATTTTAGGACTATGGCTCACAGTTTTTAATTTCATGGATCAGTAAACATTCAAGAAAAATTAAAGCAAACAACATAGGGTTTTCAAAGTTTTTATTTAGCCAAGTAAGGATATTCCAACTATAATATCAATTATATGCTGTATCTGTCATTTTATAAAAGAAAAGACATTTTGACCACAAAAGAAGATATAGAATTGAAATACAAAAATAATAAATGTTTATTGCAACAAGTCAAATAATACAAAGAGGTATATATAGAAAAGCATTCCCTTCACCAGCCGCTCTCCGTATTTTACCAGTTAACCACCTTTGTCTATGCACCTAAGAATAGACAGACATATACACATGTTTATAAGATCTGCCTATTTATTTTCCAACAAAATGGATCAAGCTATTCTCATGTTTCCAACGTTTCCTCCTCCCAAGCCTCATTTAAAGTACTCTGGAGACTTTTCTACGTCCTACCAAATATTGCTGTTTTGCAATTACATTTAGACTCTGACATTTTATTTTCTAAACAATTTATACATTTTTTATACTTTTCCTCTCTTCCTGGGAAGTGTATGGGAGTGACTGTCCCCAGTGAATGTATCTAGTGTTCAATAATATTTTCTTTTTAATGCTGTCAATCTGATGGGGAAATTTAGCAATACTACTACAAATATGATATTAGGTCACTTTTATCATATAAGCTTACTTTACGCAATACACTTCTAAGCACTTTATATGTGTTCTTTGACCCAGTTCTCACAATAATTGCACAAGGTAGATATCATCATGTTCCTACGTTGGAGAGAGGAAAGCCATGGGTGAAGGGACTTGCACCAGGTTGTACAGATCCTATGTGTTGGTGCATGACACAGACAATTCTTAAAACATACTTGTTGCTTTCATTTGCATTTCCCTACTATTGAGACCAAATAATATTCAATGTTTCTGGTTAATATTTATGTCCTTCTGTGAATAGGCAATTTAGTTTTGTCTTCTTTACAATGTCAAATAGTAGCAGTTATTCCTATAGTAGGATTATTAAATTTTTAACACTTTTACTGCAAATATGGTGACTTGTTAAATGAATGAATGAATTATTTATTTACTTATTTATTCATTTTTAAGATTTTATTTTTCCTTTTTCTCCCCAAAGCCCCCCAGTATATAATTGTGTACTTTTAGATGTGGGCCCTTCTAGTTGTGGCATGTGGGATGCCACCTCATCATGGCTTCATGAGTGGTGCCACGTCTGTGCCCAGGATTCCAACCGGCGAAACCCTGGGCCGCCAAAGCCAGCACGGGAACTTAACCACTCGGCCATGGGGCTGGCCCCTTAAATGAATTATTTAATTGTCCTTTTTTTCTTATTTTGCTATGGATGAGTATACAATTTGTGATGGACTTCAGTGGTCCAAAAACTGAGTTTGGGAACCACAACTGTAAGTTACACGGAGGAGAGCAAAGAAGAATATGATCAAGACACTGAAAAGTTGTGATGAGCTCACTTGCCAAAAGGACTATAAATGAGGAAAAGGGCAGTGAAATATTTAGCAGAAGTGAAGAAGACAGAAGAATTTAGAAGAATGTCACTCCTTCACTTCCATTTAACCTGGAAAGAACTTGTTTTCAATGAAAATTTTACAAACATACATCAATCATAACCCAAATATATGTATATATATGCACCTTTATGTGTGCACAATAACTGGAAAATAGGTCAGTATGCTAACAGTATGGATAGTGCAAGTATGGCTGATTTTAAGTATGTTTTTTATATGTAACAGTATAAGCTAGGCTTATAATAAGGCTCAAAAGTCAGGCAGAAAAAATTACTATTAATAGAAAGAAGGAAAATAGTGAAAAACTAGTTTAAAAAAGAAAATGTGCTTTGTAAATTGACATTTGGGAAAAAGTATAAATTAGATAGCAACAAAAGAAATATTACTTAAAATAATAAGTGGGATATGGACTTTTTGATAATACTGTCACCTCAAGTAACCCATAATCAATCTATAAATCAAAATTGGGGTGAGTTTATTATGAGCCAGCTCTGAGGACTATAGCCTGGGGGGCGTTTTCCTTATCCAAAGAAGGAAGCACATCAAAGAAGTGGGGTCTACAGAGTGGCTATATGCTATCTTGGAACAAAGATCATACATCACATATGACAGGAATATCTCTTTTACTACTTTTATCATGAGATGCTCAGCTGGCACAGCAGGTCAGTGGTCACAAGGTGAGAAAAGCAGGTCAGTGGTCACAAGATGAACATAGCAGGCTGGTAATTAATCCTTAGTTTCTAGGAAGAGATGCTTATCCTTAAGGAAATGCTGATCTGGGTGGGAGGTACATCTCTGTCTTTAAGGGCATCATTCTTGTCTTTGGGACATGGTAAATGTTTAAAGCAGATGTACAATACATGCTCAACAAGTTAGGTACTTTTGGGAAAACAAGGTCAGGCCAAATTAGTTTTTAAAAAAATGGCTTCCTCACATCTCCCAATATATCCTATTGCTTTTCATTTATTTATCAATACTTAATGCTATAAACTCTTGGAACCATAATGCCACTTCTAAAAATTTGTTCTAAGGAAATTACTCCAAAACAAAGGAAAAATACTATATGGATAAAAATACTTAAGGTAATAACATGCATAATGGCAGGAAATAAGAAACAACTCAAATATATAACAACATGTTTCCTAGATGGAATTCTGGGAAGACTACGTAGCTAATGCAAAGATGCTGTTTACGTATTGTTCTGAATGTGCTCAACACGCCGGCAACAAGAGCAAAATGTGTGTGTATGAAAATGATTGGAAGATCTTTAAATATAATGATATCCATAAATGACAGTAGTTATATCAGAATAATGGGCTTTAAGATGTTTTCTCCTCTAAAATTTTGTTTGAAAATAATTTTTTAAATGTTAAAATATTAGAGAGAATAGCCATAATGTATCTATGCAACCCTAGACATTATTTTAAAAATTCATCCAGGGTGATTATTCATATATAGTCTGATCAATTAATTCTTTGCAGTATTCAAAAGATACCCAGAGAGTCTATAAAATATGAACACCTCAAACATTTAAACTGTGTTGTTATTTTTAAAAAGTGAAATACAGAACTTTTGTGCAATGATTATCACATGGCAGGTCCACAAGAAGACTGTTTAATTGAACTCTTTGAAATTTACTGGGTAAAATTTACTACCTGGTGGTATATTTACCATTAAGGCCATTAGTAAATACCATTTTCTGAGTTAACTATTAATTGAGATTAGTATCCCATGATTTCTTTTATCCTCAGAATGGAGTTTTAAATAGAAACTATGAGCAACTTATCCTACTCAAATCCATGTGCCATTGAGTCCTCCACCCACAAGGGATCTCACACAAGTCATTGGTCTTTCTGAAGCCTCCACTTGATGTGGCTTCTCTCTTCTGGCAGTTTTCTGTGCCATAAGAATATTCTTTTGAGTATCTATTATACCATTCTGCTTTGGCCCACAGTGGAGAGGCCAGACATTTCAAAATCCATTGTTTATTTGTTTTTCTGATATGTTAAAAAATTGTACATTATTTTAGATATGGATGACCAAAATGTTTATCTCTCTTTTGACTATAAAAATAAGACTCTTAATACTAACACCATTGATTCCTGATTGCTCTTTCAGAGCACCAAATTTATCTGAATATTTCATCTATTTGCTCCTTGTGAAATAAGCCTTTTACAAGAAGGATGCCTCAGAACGCACACACACACACACACACACACAAGCATACATATAAAACCACATATAAATATGATTAGGTGTCCTAAAGAAACAATAATAATAAACAAAGAATGATTCTTATATCAGTTAAACTGTCATTTAAATAATTCACTTTAATTTCAATTAAATTTAAATTTAATTTTAATTTCATTAAAATTTTAACAATTAATTGATTTTCTATAGAAAATTATTTGTCCTTGATTCCTGGAAGGAGAAGCTACAAGTATTATGAATTGGCTACATCAGGTAATTTGAAAAGTATAGCTCACCAACTGTCTGAATAATGTCACAGTGAGAGGAAAGAACACTTATGGCCATTTCTTCTTTGCATTATACTTTTCATAGGAACAGAGAAATTCATCTCCTACACAGTAGTGAATATTGATGAAATTTTCAAAGGTAGGAGCTATCACTACTTGTGATATTAGGAAATTTCAAACACAATAAAAAATGAGAAGCACACTCCTAGAAGAATCCGCAGTTACATATTTTTCCCTCTCCATTAGAATATAAAATTATACTAGAAGAATTAAATAGAAGAAACTGATATACTAAAAGCAGAAGCCCAAGTGTTTTCAGGTGAAGGAAAGGTTTGGGGCAGCTTTGCTGGTCCTTCTCAGTCTATTACTAGATCTATGAGCTTCCCTCCTCTCTGTTAATTACTTGGAGTATATAAGATAATGGTCAAACTCATGGCTGAGAAAGAAGTTTGGGAAAAGAGAAATCACAAGTAACGATAAGTTCACCACTCATAAAACCATGACCTGAAGACTCTCTGATGAAGACTACTCTGCTTAAATTAAAATTGTAAGTAAATAGGGGCTGGACTGGTGGTGCAGTGGTTAAGTTCACACACTCTGCATCAGCAGCCCAGGATTTGCCAGTTCAGATCCCGGGTGCAGACCTATGCACCGCTTATCAAGCCATGCTGTGGCAGGCGTCCCACATATAGAGTAGAGGAAGATGGGCATGGATGTTAGCTCAGGGCCAATCTTCCACAGCAAAAACAAACGAAAGAAAGAAAGAAAGGAAAGCAAAAAGAGGAGGACTGGTGGCAGATGTTAGGTCAGAACTAATCTTCCTCAAAGAAAATAAATAAAAAATAAAAAAACACTGTAAGTAAATATATTTTCTATCTTCTTACAGTGTACCTTCAGGGAAAATCATAGTTGAAAAAAGAAAGATATCGTTAGCCTAGAGGGAAAGAAAACTCTTGTCAGTATTAACCTCAACCCAGTTACAACACACAGGTTGTATCTACAAGCAAGATAAAACTAAGTGTAACAAGGGAAAGCTGATTCTCATTCTCTTAAAATTCTTAAGGATTTAAATGTCACTCTGCAAATACTCAGCTGTGTGACCTAGGAAAGTCACTTTGCCTCTCTGCGCCTCAGCTTCCCCATATGTAAAATGCAGATAACAATGAAACCTCAGGGAGTTTTTAGTTAGGAATGAGTTAATCTGCATAAAGCTCTAGAACAGTGTCTGGCACATAGAAAGTGCTTAATGGATGTTAGCTATTTCTGAGAAACCAGACACCCAGATTTTTATGTGGAATATTTAGCTTTTAAAGCACTGACAGCAAATTAAAAAGAAAAAACACCGTGTGGACTAAAAACCCCGAACACACAGGTAGGCTGAACTTGCCCGTGGGTGCCAGTCTGCAGCTTCTGGTCTGGATGGCACTGGGCTCCTCCTGCCCTCTCAACAAGCAGGATTCTCTGATTTCCCCTGGTTTTCTTGGGAATGAGTCAGGCTCCCCTGATTCGAGTCTGGCAAGCTGCAGCACAAATCATGTTCTCTCCCTCCACACCCCCACGGGGTGGCCCATGGTGCTGGGCACGACCTTCTGAGACATCTGCCCCTTCTGGACTCTAACAGGGCAAAACCAGTGGGGCCAACTATGGGGTCGTATAAGGCTGGGTTTCCGTGCTGAGGGCTGCTGGGGACTAAAGGGGGCAGTTGTGAGAGGAAGTGTTTGCATGACACCCTCTGTGGGGGGGGCATGCAAGGGATTGACGGTGGAGAGGTGGCCTCAGGGGTCTTACTGAGGCTGCCCAGTGCAGTGAGGAGAGCTCTCAGCTGTGAGTCTCATGGCCTGGGCTCCTGTCCTGCTTCTATCTGCTCCTTCCTCTCGTGGAGCCTCAGTTTTCTCATCTATACAATGGGGCTGAGCCTCCCCCACTTCACAGGGACAAGCAGAGAAATGGCCTGACAAGGTACTGTTCAGGGGTGAGGAGCCGTGGGTTCTGTCTTTAGAGCTGAGTTTGGTGGGGGAGGGGATGGCATGCCCTGGGGGCTGTGGAACAGTAGGTGGACACTCCTGACACTGGGACGTGCCAGCAGGCCTTCTCAAGAGGCTGAGACAGTTGTGCCAGCCCAGAGGAATGGTGCAGACCTTCTTAATTTTCTTGATGTCACTGTCTTCGCCGTTGGGGGTGACAGTCTGTGTGGACTGGATGCACTCATTGTCCTTGAGCAGGCATGGGATCTGCAACAGAGACACAGGTCAGCTGCTGAGAGGGCTACCAGCTGGAAGAAGCCTCACCCTCTGGCCAGCCAACAGGCATGGCATGGTGAGCGAGCACCCTGCCACTTCCTCCCTGAGGGCCAGTGGAAGAGCAGCTCACGTCCCGTGCTCTGTGAGGTCATTGAGCCATCCAGCTACGAGTGAGTATTGGACTGGGAACTCGTCCACCTGGGTTTTGGGCAATTGGGCTCTGACTCCAGGTGACCTTGGTCAAAGTCCTTCCACTCTGGGCTTTCTGGACAGCAGGTATCCTACCTGTAATCCGGGAGCTTTGGTTAAATCTATGATTCTCCTCCCTACTCCCCAAAGCATCAGTCCCTTTATTTCTGAATTTTTATTGTAAAATATATGTAACGTTAAATTTACCATTTTAACACATTTTAAGTGTACACTTTAGTGGCATTGAGTACATTCACATGGTTGTGCCACCATCACCACCAACCACCATGCATCTCCAGAACTTTCTCATCTTCCCAAATGGAAACTCTGTCCCCATTAAACAATAACACCCAACTCTCTCCCTCCCCAGCCCCTGACAACCACCCTTTTCCTGTCTGTCTCTGTGAATCTGACTACTCTAGCTACCTTATCTAAGCAGAATCATACAGGATTTCTCCTTTTGTGACTGGCTTACTTCACTGGCATAATCATCCAGGCTGCAGCATGTGTCAGAATTTCCTTCCTTTTTCAGGCTGAGTTATATTCTACTGTATGTATATATCGTATTTTGCTATCTGTCCATCAATGGACAATGGACTTGGGCAGTCCCTTTATTTTTTCAAACAAAACCATGCTGGAACTCCAGTACGTAAACAGACAAAAGCAGGTGGCTGGGGCAAAGTCCAAACCTTTCAGAAAGGCTGGTCCATCCAACAGCCTGTGTCCGGGGCCTGGGGACCGAAGGAGCCACAGCTGGGTGTCATTAGGGCTTTCGCGGATACTCTGGTTCTCCTCCTGGGACGTGGCAGGGCTGTACTTCCCAGTCCCCTGAAGTCGGGCATGGTCACGTGACTTGCTTTGTCCAAAGAAATGTGAGGAGAGGTGTCACATGTCATTTGCCGAGTTCCCTCCCCTACCATGGGACTGGCGAATTTCCTGATGGTGGGAGCCCCGTCAGCCTGTGTCCCTGACTCTGAGTGAGAACACTGTGGAGCAGAAGCCACAAGGGACGCACAGTGTGAGTGAGAAAGCAATTTTTGTTGTTTTAAGCCGCTAAGATTTGGGGGTATTTGTAACTGCAGTGTAACCTAGCTCGTCCTGACAGATACATACAGTGACCACCAGGGGGCAAAGAGCAGTAAAGACTGTCCTGACAGATACATACAGTGACCACCAGGGGGCAAAGAGCAGTAAAGACTGAGTAAAGACAGCTGCTGTGGGAAGCAAGGCAATGTCAGGAGAGCAGAATTTGGAAGCCAGATGTGGCCAGGAGAATGGAAGCCCTTGGAAATCCTCAGGAATATGTGGAATGCAGCCTGAGGCATTTTATTTGGCTATCAGAAGAAAGATGGACCACGAGAGCTTGAGGCCATCCAGGCGACACAGTGGTGCCGGAACATGCTATCAGGCCTGTCTCCTGAGCAGGGAAAGAGTAAGTTGTGGGGCAGGCACAGGCCAAGGATGTGCAGCCAGGAGATCCAAGGTTGAGCCTGGACTCCAGCAGTGGAAGTGACCTTGGAGTGACCTTGGATCAGTCCTTTCCTCTTCTATGGACCTCAGCGTCTTTAGATCCCTCCTAGCCCTGACATTCTAAGACCCTCTGTCTTTGTCAGGGAGGTCACTCATCATTTACTCGGCTCTTCAGTGCCTCCCACCTACCGGGTAGCCTACTTCCTGGGAAATGGGCTGTGTTTCACCTTCCTGGAGCCCATGCAGAGCGAACAGGTGCCCTCTGCCCTGCAGGATGTGTATGTGTGTGGGAGAGAGAGAGAGAAAGAGACCACAGCCAGAAAGCTTTACCAAGCTGATCCTTCTCTCAAAGTTGTCTTTAAAAAAATTCATTTGGTGGGGCTGGCCAGGTGGCACAGCGGTTAAGTGCGCACATTCGGCTTCTCAGGGGCCCGGGGTTCGCTGGTTCAGATCTCAGGTGTGGATGTGGCACCACGTGGCAAGCTGTGCTGTGGTAGGCATCCCACCTATAAAGCAGAGGAAGATAGGCACTGATGTTAGCTCAGGGCCAGGCTTCCTCAGCAAAAAGAGAAGGATTGGCAGTAGATGTTAGCTCAGGGCTAATCCTCCTTGGGGGGAAAAACCATTTGGGGGGCCAGCCCAGTGACGCAGCAGTTAAGTTCACACATTCTGCTTTGGCAGCCTGGGGTTCACAGGTTCGGATCCCGGGTGCGGACCTACACACCACTTGTCAAGCCATGCTGTGGCAGACATAAAGTAGAGGAAGATGGCCACAGATGTTAGCTCAGGGCCAGTCTTCCTCACCAAAAAGAGGAGGATTAGTGGCAGATGTTAGCTCAGGGCTAATCTTCCTCAAAAAAAAAAATAAAAAATTGTTCACCCTGGAGAGTAATGCACTCATTTGGAATCACTGGGGCCTCTGCTACCACTCTGACATTGACACACACACACATACACTTTCACTCACAAATGACCAGCTCTGTGCTCCCCAGCACCTGAGGGGGCTCTGCTCTTTGCACCCATCCCTTCTCTGGCCTACCAACCCCTGAAGCCTTTTAAGGCCACATGCAACATGAGCCCATACCCTCTTAGGCCATAAAATGACTCATTTTCGACCTGGGTTCACACTACAAGCTCCGTTATAGCACCGATTGTACTCTACGACAATCAGACCCTCCAGTTTGAAACTTCCATGTCTTTACTGCCTACCACAGAGCCTGATGTCCATCCATTCATCAAGCCCTTACTGAGTACCTATTATGTGCGAGGCAGAAGGGAGAGAGTGATAAAGGACAGCCCTGCCTTCAAGAAGTTCCCAGCAGGCCGGGTTGGGAGAGACACCCAGGGAGCAGGATCGGACATGCCATGTGGAGGGAAAGCCGTGGGAGCAGGGGGCAGGGAGCACACTCTGGGATGAGAGTCCCCAGGAGGAGGCATTTGAGCTTGGTAGATTCCACAGGCAGGGAAGTGGGAGGGTCACAGGGGCATTCCAAACAGAAGCCCCAGCATGCTCAAAGGCCAAGAGTGCACATCTCATGGCCATGGGGCTCTGGCTGGAGCTCCTAGTGGGAGGCGAACAGGAGCCTGGGTAAGAGGATGAGGTAGTGGTCAACTGATCTTAGGCAGTTAGTGAATGGGTGAGTCAATGAATGAATGACACCCGGACACCCTTGATCATGAAGCCACTAACATGGAACTGGGGCCAGGCCTCTTCCCTGGTCCCTAACAGGGGCTCAGCTTGGTTTCAGGGATGTGTACAGGGCTAGGATAGATCCCAGAATGAACCAGATGGTTTAGACACAGGACAAACCCCCATCCCGGGAGCCACGTGGGAAGACGCTACAAGTAGAGTGGGAAGACTGGCAAGCAGACACACAGACCTGGCTTCCAGTCCTGGCTCTGCCACCTCCCAGCTGTGTGAGCTTGGGCAGGTGACTTGAGCAATCTGAACCTGCTTCCATGAGGATGGTTATGTGGCCTGACTAAGGAAGTTTATCTGAAGGTACCTGGTGTGGGGCCAGAGGACATGTGTGGAATCTGAAATTTTTGTTGAACCTCAAGTTCCAAGTTGACATGACCAGTAGTTCAGAGCTTGGCAACGGCACCACAAGGTGGAACTGGCAACTTCACATCTTTGAACACTCCAGGCACAGCTGGCTTCCAGGGTGTGTGATGGGCCCTACGCTCAGAAGGCCTCATGCTCAGGGCTTCGTTCTGCAGTTCCATCTTGAAGTTCTCAATCATTTCTTGCTGAATCTCTGTTTCCTAAGTGATATCTGATGGAACAATGGAGCACACCCCAGGGGCTTGGACCCCCAGCTCACACACGTTCCTCCCTCCTGCTGCCTCCCCTGGATGGGTTCTCAGCTGCTCCCTCCCCACACACTGGCACCCCACGACTCATGATCTCCTCTACCCTCTGTCTGGGTGCAAATGGATGAGTCAGCCAGGAAGATTCACATCCCACTGTAAGTCACCCTCCACCCTCTGCAGGGGCCTGGGTGTGGGTGCAGAGAAGGTGGGTCCAGTGCACACCCCGTGGTGTCTCAGAGCAGGTGAGGAGACAGTGCCAGAGCACTAGGTGGGTGACTTGGCAGGGGACTCGTGCCCACCCCTCATCTAAGTACTGAGTGTATCATGGCACGGAGGTTAGAGGAGGCTGAAGGTTGAAGATGGGGGTCGCCTGTCTGCCATGGGTGGGTGGTGGGCTGTGGTAAGGGGAGATCGACTTCCCCGATTGCCCCCAGGCCTTGCATTTTCTCCTTGCTTCAGGCCCTACAAATTATGTAGCCAACCCTGGTAGTAAGAATCTATGTTTCCATTTTCCTCTTCTCAGCCCAGAGTGCCTGGTCCTTGTGTGACGTGGCCAGATGGTTCTGAGCACTGTGGAGAGGTGAGGGGGTGAGGGGCACTCCGATCATTCCGTGGTCAGGTGGACAGCTGCTGAGGGGCGTCTAAGGGACTGAGAGCCTGCGCCTCCCAAGTTTTAACGTAAATGGAATCACCTGGGAAGTTGGGAAAGTGCAGATTCTCATTTCAGAGGTCTAGGTGGGGCCTGAGATTCTGCTTTTCTAACATGCTTTTGCTTCATGGACCACACTTTGAGTAGTGAAGTTCTAGAAGGCTTAACCTAGCAACAGCATGGCCTCCTGACCGATGCCCAGTGAGCCCCTGTAGGAGCTCTCATGACAGGCAGAGGGAGGGGATGCTGGGAGCTGAGCCAGAAGCCCACACTCTAATGACCTACCAGGGATCCTGTGGCGCTGGAGTGTTAGCTGATAATGTGGGAACAGTCAATGTGGTCATGAGTATAACTAAAACCTTGCCCATAA